CTGCTGCTGTTTGAATACAGACAGCATGCTGTGCACAGCATACAAGGTACGTGGGGACATGCTGAGAGGCTACCCTGAAATATTTAACTTCTAGACTCGTTAAAATTAGAACAAAGGTAAATATCTAATGAAGGCTGTTCTTCACACACAGAAACATGACCCGAGCCTGCTTTCCATAGTACAATTTAGCATATTACTTGCAAATTCCCAAATACTTCAGATGTTTTGTGTGGAGAAACACAGATGCCTTTTATTTCTTTAATGCAAAGACTTTACAAGTTTCCCCACCATGAACACAGCCAGTCCCATGCTGGGCAACTTAGTGCACAAAATGGCTTACACTAGCCAATATATTAAAACCAATTCCCCTCCACCCCAGTACTATCTTAATTCACTTTAGCTTGTCTCTTGTATCCTAAAAGAGTTATTCAGCTGAGACTGTGAAACTGTTCTATAATTTATCTGCACAGCAGGGAAACTGAATTGCTTACACAGCCCAACACTGTTTTATTTTGTTTACATTTATTGGACAGATAGAGTTGTTGATTTTTTGTTTTGGTTTGAGTTGTGGTGGTGTGTTTTTTCGGTGCTGTTTAGGTGTGGCTCAGCAATTCCAGTCCTCTGACTCCATCTCCTGGTCAGAAACACGCTCAGCCCCCATGAGCCGAGGTTGGGAGACAGCCCAACTCCAACAGCAGGGAGAGAAAAAACTCGTGATACTTCAGGAAATGCAGCACAGGAAAAGTTCCCAGTGTTAAAAAGCACACTGTACACAGGATCAATAAAAATCCACGTGATATATCGTAGGAAAACGTGACAACTTTTTCAGTTGAAGATTCAGAATTGCAGAACATAGGATACATCTATTAGCGAAGATCCAAAACCTGCTACATTTTCTTCTTTAGAGGAGAAGAATTAAATTGCTTTTGAGTATTTATTTTCTATCACTATTTCAGTCTGCCTCAAAAGGTCAATGTTCATGACTATCCCTGCTTCACAGAGCTACCCATGCCTTGTGGAATTTAAGCTCATAATAAAAAGAGAAAAGAAATGCTGGCCTTTCCTTTTTGTGGATTATTCCCAAGTAGTATAATGAGAGTGTTTTATTTTCTCTCCATTCAAACGAAACTGCTTCCATGACTTTTGCCAAAAGCTACCTTTTATGTTTAGCAGACCAAATATTCTTACCCAACATCCAGTTTCTTTAACTTTTGGCAAAGCCTCTACAGACAATTTCAGTTGCCATTCGGCTACCTCAAAAGGATTTGATGCTTTGCAGGGAAGATTTGCAGCTCTGGGAACATCCTGCTCTCCTAAAATTCTGAGCCAGCCACGACTTCTATGAATTTACAGTAGTCATTATCTCTGTCCTACTCCATCTACAGATTCGAAAGAAGCGCCACAATCCTTGATTTCATGCTTACGCAGGAAGCATGAACGAGTTCTTCTGAACGAAGAGCCTCTGGAGTTCTCACTTGCCATGCAGGGAGGCTGAGCAGGATGTTTCACTTATTAAACCTGGGATTCTTCCTCCCACCTAAGTGGAAATACCTCCTTGAATGACAAAGGGTTGGTAATACAAACCTGATTCATAGGGGTAACATTCACTGATTTGCTCTTCTTGAGTTATTGGCTCCTCATCATCTGGAAGGTAACGCTTATCAATGGCCTCTTTAATCTGGTTATTGGCTCCTTTGGGATCTAAGTCCATTGCCCATGAGAAATTCATTAAGGCCAAATGTGTTTGACCCAGTTTTTTATAAACCTAAAAAAAAAAAGCATAAAATGCTACATTTACATGAAGTTGCTACTTGAATGTTTGGACACCCACCATACCAAGCCACACTTAACCAATATTTACAAAAAGCAGCAGAAGATAGATATGAAAGATTTTTATTCTATGAGTCCCAAGGGAAACAGCAAATATGTGTAGAAAGAGTGAGCAAGTGTTTCTATTTAAGACTAAAAAAAAAATTAAACCAGCAGCTGACAGATTAGAAACCATAAGGAGGTGGATCTTCAGATACAAATTTCAGCTTTGCAACTCTGCAGCAGGGTGGTGTAAAAGCTATTAGTGTACAACCTTTGTATTATCTTACCCCCTTCCCCAGCCTTTCAATTTCTTGAGTCATTGCAACCCCAAATCTACTTGTGGCTCAGAAAAAGTCCAAAGACTCAGATTTCTCATGTCAGAGGCCCAGAGAATACTTTGGGAAGTACCACCACACGCACACGTTAATCTGGGACTCTTCCCTACAGCTCGCACACTGAGGACGAGCACAGGCAGGATACATGGTCAGGCAGATTTTCGATCTGACTCAGCATGGCCGTTCTTACAGCCTCAAGGAGCATTTTAATTGTTATTTCATAGAATCTTGGAATGGTTTGGGTTGGAAGGGACCTTCAAGATCACCCAGTTCCAAAGCCCCTGCCATGGGCAGGGACACCTTCCACTACACCAGGTTGCCCAAAGCCTCATCCAACCTGGCCTTGAACACTTCCCAGGGATGGGGCAGCCACAGCTTCTCTGGGCAACCTGTGCCAGTGCCTCAGCACCCTCAGAGGGAAGAATTTCTTCCTTGTATCTAATCTAAATCTCCCCTCTTTCAGTTTAAAGTCATTGCCCCTTGTCCTATCACTACATGCCCTTGTAAAATTTTCAAGACATCACTACATTGCAGAATCCAGCCCATATTTTACCTTCTTTGTCACCATAACTTGCACTGAAGTTCTCCTTATCATTAAGGACAGACAAGCAAGTAATTTTCCTGTGTTAAGCATTTAAAAGGTGAAGTACTTCAGTTTGTCAAGACATGACAACTCTAATGTCAATTTAGGCAAGTAGGAGTCAACAAATTTCAGCACAAATCTTTCTAACTCGCTCCAGTTTAAAAAAAAAATACAAAAATCTTGCTGATTAAGAGTTATCCAGTAGGTGAGTGAGTCTTGTTGATTACTTGATCTCCTAGTAATCACACAACCCACAGAAAAACCCTGCAGAACTTATTTAAAGCGTATTAGCAGAGAAGATGGTGAGGAAGGAGGATTTCTGTTACTAGATTACTTTTCCCTGGCATTAAACAAAGGCAGCTGGAATGTAAAGACAGCTGACAGATTAGTAATATATCTTCTGCTGTACTCTATCAGCCTCATTAAAGTCTCTTCTTGCTTTCAAACTGGTAACTTTCCACAAGTCTTTTGGGAAGGCTGTCAGCTGAAAAGGACACTGAGGCTACTGATGGAGAGTCAGGAGTATTCTACAAGTACTCCTTGGTCAGCATTTCTGATACAACACAGCAGAATGTGATTCAACATCTTCATAGCTACCACATGCAAAAAACCACTGCTGACTGATGGATGGACTATCCATCAAGATTTTAAGGATTTCTATTGATGACATCATTGCTGACATATTGAATCAAGTCTTGCTAGAGTTCTATTTTCAGGGAAAGAAATATGACTGTGTGCATAACCACTGCATCTCTTCAGTGAAGTATCCTTACCAGGATCAATTTCTTGCTTTTTTAAACTAAGTATCTTTCAAGTTGACGGTGAAATCAAAGCAGGCAAAGAATAGCACTGGCTTGGGTTATTTTTTCCTGGTTTGTTTTAAAAAGAACTGAAGGCTGCTCCAGCAGTAACTATCTTTTGCATTTAAAAGCTGATCTATAACAAATCTGTGAGCAGCAAGGCTTATTTAAAGCTTTGAAAATTTTTAGAATACTGCTCCAAACGGAAGCAGCGTGGTGACAGGCATCAAGTTTTCTCATTAGGCATGTGTTTCTGCAACAAAGGAAGCCAAAGGACTTATGATCACTTAAGTTTTGCCTACCTTTCCTATTAAAAAGTAAACAAGAGACTCTTTGGGAACAATCTGTTTCAGTTCTTCAAGTTCTTGTAAAGCAGACTGAAAAGGAAGAAAAAAGAGCATAGTAAGCACAAGCTAGCGGTCTGCAACCAGTTATGACATCACTAAACTGTGATTTAGTACTAATGTGAAACGAAAAAAATTCTGGCACTTACATGTAAGATATTCCATCAAGAACCATCTCACAATCTCATGAGAAGCATCTAAAATTCCTTTTACATTAGTTTCTCATTTAAAGATTGTGTATTATAGCACTATTATTACAGAAACAGAAGACAAGAAGCTGACAGTATATTTATAGTGAGTTAAGTTTTATGTAGTTTATGTGAACAGTGTAACTTTATCAGGCTGAGACTTGTAAGACTAAAGAAAAGAGTCCAAAAGTTTTATTTCCTAAAACATCACTTCACCATGGTCAACAAGTTCCTTCACTAACACATGGGCAATATCATAGTGAAGTATTAGATTTTTTTTTTCCCTCTTGTATTTTCCTGCTTTTAAATTTTAAAAACAACCTGTGAACGAGCACTTTGTCAAGTCCTTAATCTTAATACATTCTATATTTAATTAGCTCAGTGATGAATTTTCAAAAAAGTTCTAGGTAAAGTTTTCCTTTTACGTGTGCAGACATTTCTGAAGCAAGATTTCAAAAACCAGACTGCATCTTGTCCTCTGTGGCCAAAAAAAACAGGCCAGAGGACAGCAGTCGCTGGAAAGACAGACTGTGGGAAGATCTCCACTCATTCTAAACAGGGTACAGCTCAGCAGGGGATCAAAAATTTGCTTAGCTGCTTTTTTTCACTTGATAACAGAGTCTTTGAAACAGTGTTTCTTATTGCTGTAATTGGTCATGAGCAGTTTGCTGAGCTTTTTTTAGTAATTTAGCATAAACTCATGATAATACAGCCACATCTCAGTGACAGCTACAATAATTTCCCCTTCTTTCTTTTCTTTTTCCAAGGACAGGCTAAAATAACAATAACTAAAAAACCATCACCTGTTGGCCCTCGATTTTATGACAATCAAAATTTAACATAGTTCCCTTGGCGAAGGTGGCACTTGTCAAAGCAAACGCTCCATGTTAGTCTCTACAAGACCAATGTCCCAGGCTCTTCCTGCAAGCTCTGATGCTCCCAGTGCTAACCTGTAAGCATTGAGCTTCCAGTGCATCCCTGTTCCTAGCCACAGCAACTTAAAGATAACTTAAGGTTGTCTGCATGTACCAAATCTTACCTTGTATTTTTCATTTGCAAATAATACAGAAGCTCTATGGAATTTGCATAGCGGGTTCTTGGGGTCAATGTTAATGGCTTTGTTTAAAGTGTCCAAAGCCTTTTCAGATTTTTTCAGTGCATGCTGGACCTATTACAGAAAGAGAGAACAATTTTAAAAGGGAAAACAACAGCTCATCTGCCAGACAAGTACAAAGCCATTTCGCTACATTCACTTACAATCTGTTCCTTTAAAAAAAATAAATATCTATTTGTCCAATTCTAAACCAAGTCTTAACAAGCTTTCTTGCAAGAAGAAAAGTTCACCTCATCCTGTCTCCACCTCAAAACACTCTTCCCCACCCAATGGCTGACATAAATCATTAAACCTTTGGCCAGGAGTGAACTCAGTGCCTGTCTCAGTATAGAAGCCAGAAGCTGCTGGCCCTGTAGAATCTGGCACAGCTTCGCTGCCACGTAGATGGCAAAGGAATGCCAGCAGGTGACCACCCACCACGCTCACACGGCCTGAAGTCACCATCACGAGCATCTGAACTGCTCCCCACCTTCACGCAGTCGCTAGAGCGAGGCTGCTGTTTCCTAAGGAGCAACTTCTCCAACAGCCCTGCCAGCTGCACTGAAGGGCTGGTGGCTGAGGAAGCTGCCCGCTACTCAGAGTCAGCTGGGCACAGAGTGGCCGAAGAAGTAAACTGTCACATCTCCAGGCGACTGGAATGAGGACAGCCCAGACATACAGCCAGGACAAAGATACTGCACTCTGAAAGGTGAGACAGGTGCCTCAGCATTTTAGAGAACTGGAAGTGCTGATCCATGTGCTTGCAACAGCAATTAAACCCCACTTAATTTCATATGTATTAAGTATAAAAGCCCCTATAAATACTCTGTTCACATGCATATCTGCACACAGGCTGATTTTCCTATCGCTGCTCTTTGGCTGACTCACAAACATGACCCAACAGTGTAATTCCATTACTGGCTAGGAGTAGCTTGGAGAGAAAGGAGAGTTTCTTCTCTGACATGTTAATCCTGTGGTTACTCATTCACATGGCACTTAAGATCCTCCAATACTCGGAACTTGACTGGCTTTTTTCTGGAAGCGTTCAGAATTACTTTTCTAATGCAAACAAAGTACAGAAGCAGATGAAACCAAAGCAAGGATAGAGTTAAGTGCAATCTACTTACTACTCCAATGTGACACAGTAAGACTGAGCTCTGAGGATTGATATCAAGTGCTTTCTGGAAATGCATTTCTGCTAGACTGAATTTTTCCTGTTTGTAATAAATCATTCCCAACCCGTACCTGCAAGCAGAAAAACAATTCTGTTAAGATTGTATTCTAATCACACTCACCTTTGTCTGTGAATATGACCTAGCAGAAATGGTCTACAGGCTTGCCAACCCCATCCAGGATGGAAAATGATTTCTAGTGGAGAAAGAGCTATGTCTAAAATTATCTTGTTGTTTTGTTTTTTTCCTCAATTGGGTAGTTTGAAGAACTGGTATCTGGTACACAGGAAGACCGGCTAAACAGTTACAAACTAAATAAAAAGCATACAAAAGTCTCAAGACTAAGCAACTTACACTAGCAGATTTAACTTTTACTGCTTTATGTATTTTTTTTGTCCACAGAAATAGCCGTAAGAAACTTGACAGAATCCTAAGGTATAAAGCAGCAGATGAGACATCTCTCCAACTGCAAGTGAAGAATAAAGAACTAGATGCACGAGAAGGGCTGAACAGAAGAAAATCGCTGGGGTAATACAGTCAAAGAGATCTGTGGAAACCAAAAAGCTACGATTTTTCCCCCCTTCTTGTAGAATTTCATGTTTAATAAACAGATGAGGCCCACATCTGCTGCAGAACTAGCTTTGCTCTCTTAGAGAAGTGCGGTGGGAGCAGTGGCAGCATCCAAAAGATACTTCTCCAAAAGGAGTTCTGCATCACATGCAATACGAGAGGGACGAAGCAAAACTTACCATGCATTATAGTGTCTCGGGTTGACTCTGATTGCATTCCTAAAACAAGCTAATGCTTTGTCTAGTTCTTCTGTTAACACAAATTCGTGCCCCAACAGGGTGTAGGCATAAGCATAGTTTGGATCAACTTGGATGGCTCTCTGGAAGAACTTGATTGCAATGTCATGCTCTCGTTGCAAGCTGAAACAGTTTCCTGCAGCACACCATGCCTAGGAAAAAGATCATTGCAAGATTAGCACACTTTTTACAACTCAGAGTGACTAAGTTTGAGCTGAACAGATTTTTTTGTTCATCCTGATTTACACAATTATATATAACTGCCTCCTAGCTTAAAAAATAACAACAGTAGTAATAAAACAAATTAGTTAAGTCTCATTCCTAAGAGGCAGACAGGCCTAACACACCTTATAGCTGGATAAGCTGAAATACAGAAATTGAGAATCTAAAGACACCCAACACCTTTGTGCCAATTAGATGCTCTGATGACTAATGACTAAAGTTTTCCAGCCTTTTCAACAGCTTCCAATGAACCAGCTTAAGATATTTAAGAACAATGAAGGAGGAAGCAGTACATTCACTTTCACTCTTCAGCTCACTCCAACTGACAAATCTGCAGAGCAGCAATTTTAGCAGCAGCCTCCTCTCTCTCTCCCTCCTGCTCAGCAACCAGCAGAGATGGTAAAGCATCACAGCCCAGCGTCCCGTGCTTCCCCAAGTTTTTAGCATCACTCAAATCACATAACTCTTCTCTACTCCTTGTGTTAGAATCTGCATTTCCTTCTCTCCAGACTATCTTACTGCAACTATCAACCACTTCACTGGTTTCGATTTTCCCCCTATTAGACAAGCTAATAAGACAACACAAACAGGATTCTCTTCTCCAGGAAGAAAAAAATCCTAATATAATCTATAGTTTTCTTAACTCTGTTAAGAACACACTTGCAACGCAGACATTTATTACTTTTACTGTGGCACCCATTAAAAGATGCCTGGCTTTTTGCATATCATAACTTTTTATTACCATACACTCTACTGTTTAATGGACTTTGGCATAAAAACATGCAACATTACGTCTGAAAATAAATTCTAGAGCAAATATGTTTTAAGTGCCAGTGAACCAACTGCAGCAATTAAAAGGTGGTACAGGAAAGAGACGTTCCTTATCTTCACATACTGGCAGTGACAGGAGTGACTGACTAACCCTCAATCTTCCTGGATGAATGGTGCCAATGCAAATTTAAATAACCATTAACAGATAAAAGGTTTCAAGCTGTTCCAGGTAAGCTGACATTCTAAGAAGTCATTTCAGGCATCATCAGTTCAACAGAATCCTGCCACCTCCCTCTCCAGCTTTGCCATGTGGTTCTCACAGGAAAATACACCTGAACTAGATTAGAGCTCAGACCTTTGTTCTGAATCATTTGATTTTGCCACACACAGTTACCCTCTTTTCATTCAACACCACAGCATTTTATACCTCTGGTGAGTTTTTATCCATGTCCGTCAAATCCTTCGAAAGGACCGAAAGAGCAACATCTTTCTGCAGATGCCACAGCGTAGTTGAATAAATCTCCATGCCTTCTACTCTGTAGTTTTCAATCCTCCTTACTTCTGAAAATATTCTCTCAGCCTAAGAACAGAAATTAAACTTAAAACAAAATTCTGCCCACCACAGCAGAGCACATGATTCAAGGTTAGAAGCTTCCTATGCCCAGAGTGAGCATCCTCTTTGCTTTGACACTGTACTACACAGAGCTCCAGGTCCCGTGGTGCTTTTAACTTCCCCTTCCAGTGAAGGAAGTGACTACAGCCCAGTACAGTTATAGCAAGCAGAAACCCAGCCAGCCCACCCTGCTGCTGATTCAGGTTACGCTCATGTTTCTAGCACAGCGCACAAGAAGGGCAAAAAAAGTTGCCTGCAAAAATCCCAGAGTGTGGTATACTTTTACGGGCCAGTTATGACTACTAGCCCTTGTAACAGGTGACAGATCTCGCATCCACACTGAGTGCTACCCCCCTCCAAACACTGTGCCTAATAATTACAAGGTAAAAGTGAGCGTGACCATCACTGCAGTAAACACAGCTGCCACAGGGACGGGGGGCACATAAGCGTGTGACAACACATATGAGCTTTACTTCCACCTGAGACAGCTATGCTTCTCATCAACAGCCCACTAATGGAGTCTTTCTGATGCAGATATCTATTTCTTAAACTTAATTTCCAGGTTGAAAGCAGCAACAAGGGAAGAGGGCAAGCTTTAGGAAGTCAGAGTTTGGAGCCTCAGTCTTCAAAATAAGCTATTACGAAGCACAATCTGCTCCATCTCTAATCAGATTGTGGGTACAGTTTAAAAAAACCACTTCTGAAACCTACTGCATTTGTCTCCTGCACACAGTCTGTCAAAAGCTGTTTTAAAAACTTCTGAGGGAATGGGCACATCAGCCATCAGGACAACAGTGCCAAGGAGAGTTAAACTGCTGGATCACCCTTAACCACCCACTCCTGTTTCCGAAGCGGTTTGACATCACCTCAGCTGTGCCAATGCTGTAATTTCTGAGGCTGCAAAGGAAGTAGGTAATGGATGTGATTGCATTAGCTAAAAAGAGCGAGAGAAGTTTTCAGTTTTAGAACTCAGAATTGTTTCAATGACCTAATTTACAACATTGCAGTACAATTACATCAGCATGGCTTTGGGCGAAGACGGGGAGAGGCAAGGAGACGACGACCCCAATGGTTGGATGCAAGAAGAAATAACATTAAAAGAATCCTAAAACGTAACTCAGCCTCTTCAGGAAAGCTGAGTGACTACTGATGCAGATTCAAGATCTCAACCATTCCTGGTATAACTTTAATGCTTGTACCATTATCTCAACTGTAAATTTCCCATAGCTTTTGCAGGAAGTCCGCAGGTTTTGTGCAAAGTTAAGTAAAACAAAAGTGAAAAGAATAAGAACCAATCCACACAGTTCCTACCTGCATATATTCTGCAAGTTCGAAGTAAGCTCTCCCAATTTGGCACAGCACCCAGCCAGTGTTGTAGTGGTGGGATGGTAAATGGCTTAAAATATTTATCGCTTCTTTGCAGTTGTACGAGCACAAGGCTAAATAACCTTTCCCCATGTCACGAAGAAGGCTCATCAAACCTTCTAGGAGAAAAATACAATAAATAAAAGCGGAAAAAGAGACAACTGAGGCTTATTTACTTGAAACCGCTAATTCCATAAGCTCTTCACTACGGCAGACACTGCTCCCAAATTCGCCTACAAAAATCTTTCAGGAGTTCCCAAACACAGGCTTGTACACTCTTAGCTTAGGTCTAATATTCTAAACATCAACCCTTCTAACAGAAGAAGAGAGTAACAACTTCTTAAGCCAGCAACAGAATACTCAGGAACAGAGAAACTCAAGCTCAGGGCAACTGGAGCTTTGCATTTCCAGCAGCTATTCAAACGTTTTGTTTAGGTCTGAACACAGTTTCCACATATCTGGTATCCATGGATACATCCTCTTGCTGCCTGGAAACATTACTGAGCCAAAAGAGGAATTCAGCAGTTTGTCTAGGATTTTCTGACAATCTGAATAAAGACTTGTTTTTAAACAAATGGGAAGCATGAGGGGAGAACAGACTACATAAACCCGATTTTGAGGGAAGATGACTGGGTTACTCATAGCTCCTTTGAATCCGTTTCGAAGGATCTTGCCTGAAAAATATTCTAATCATTAATAAGGATCAGAGCTTGCAAGATATATCTGCTTCTAACTAGCCACTTGTAATCCTTCTTCGCATGTTCTTTGTAAATTCATCAGAATATATGGTATTCAATCAGTTTTTATAATGATAGAAAGGGGACAGCTGCAGGTTAACTGAAACAAGAACAAACCAAACACTGGAGCAACAGTTGTTTTTCTTCCATTCAAGCTTAAAACACAGATATACTAAGTTTTACTCTAGTACAGTCCAATAGTGTTCAAACAGACCTGCTGCTGCCTTCTGAAGCGTAAACGCCTGGATCTGTGGCACAACAGTGGAAATTTTCCCTTCTGAAATGATGGAAGAGTCCAGTTTGGTAATTTCCAAACTGTCATTCAAGTTTGGTTGAGTTATTCCTCCCTTATTCGTTTTACTTTTTGTTTTTCTGTTTGGAATCTTAGGTGGAAACTTCATTTTTAATTTTTTGCTATTTTCCTGCAAGTAAGAAGAGTTACACAGGAGTTACATATACAAAAGTCTTTTAAAATCACATAACTAAACTTGAACGTGAATTGTGTAAAATTATATTTATGCCTCTTTGCAGCCTTAACAACGATGCCCAGCTGTTTGACTTTTAAACTGAAGTACACAGACACTAAGTAACTTCACTGAATGTTCAGTAGTTCATTTTTAAACAGCAAATGTTCACAACACCTAACTACAGTCCACCAGCATTTCTGCCTTGGCACTCCTCCATTTGAAGAGCAGAAACGCAGCATGAAAATAACTTTGGCAAAAAAAATATTATCTGCTCAAAATGAATCCTTCACATATATCTGAACAATTCAACCTCTATCAAACAGCTTGACATCTAGCAGCACTGCTGCATTTGTCAACCCAGTGTGCATCTCTGTTGCTGTTCATGATACTCTTCTTCCTACTATATAGTTGAGCACTCTGGAGAGCTTAAAAATAACATATTATGGCACTGCGACGTGTTTTGTACATCCCGACATAGAATCAAGAATGGTTTGGGTTGGAAGGGACCTCAAAGATCATCTAGTTCCAACCCCCCCTGCCATGGGCAGGGACACCTTCCACTACACCAGGTTGCCCAAAGCCTCATCCAACCTGGCCTTGAACACTGCCAGGGATGGGGCAGCCACAGCTTCTCTGGGCAACCTGTGCCAGTGCCTCACCACTCTCACAGCGAAAAATTTCTTCCTTATCTCTAATCTAAATCTGCCCTCTTTCAGTTTAAAGCCATTGCCCCGTGTCCTGTCACTACACGCCCTTGTAAAAAGCCCCTCTCCAACTTTCCTGTAGGCCCCTTTTAAGTACTGGGAGGCTGCAATAAGATCACCCCGGAGCCTTCTCTTCTCCAGGCTGAACAGCCCCAACTCTCTCAGCCTGTCTCCATAGCAGGAGATCAAGACCATCTTTGTGGCCCTCGGATCATCTTCGTGGCCCTCCTCTGGACCTGCTCCAGCAGCTCCATATGGAACCTGTTCTTAAGCTGCTAGAATTGCTACACAAATGGGGAAATTTAGTGCAGTGGTACTGGTCAGGAACACAGAGTTTGCAAGAGACACGACGTTTGTTACCTTCGTTGTAGAGCTATCACTAGTAAACAGGCGAGAACTTCTTCGAGGCAGTGCGTTCGGTGGAGCAGCAATTGTTGGGCTCAATACCTGAGGTGTTGTACTGAAAACAAACAGCACGTTAAAAACTACAGTTCTTCACTCCATTTCTCATAAAAACAGCTTTTATCTTTGTTTTAAACAAAAGTGCTTGAGTATTATAGCACAGATATTCCCATTTCAAGGGATGAAAAAAAATAAATCTATTTGTTGCATGTTAGGAATGTGAGCTACTTTTTCATTTATTGATGAAACAGTCATCTAACTACAAAGGAGATTTAAACCAAACAGACCAACCACCATGCATGAGCTTCCTATTTATCCACTGAAGTTAGGTAAAATAAAAAATACACCTCTTCCTTATTCCAAAGAGGAATTCTGCAGAAACATCCGCACAGGTTGTGTGAATAAACTGCCAAATTCCTTCAAAAAAGGAGATGCAAGAGGTAATACACCAACATGATTTTTTTTTCTTCTCCTACCTCGTCTGTGGGCCAGAGCTCTGTGTTTGTGCAACAAGAATTGGAGTGACTTCCCGACTATTTCCGCTCTGTGAGAAGACAGATTTTGTTCCAGCTTGGCTTATCCTGCTGACAGTCTGCATAACACAAAGTTTCTACAGGTTTGTTATTACGTCACTAAGAAGTCTCAATCTCTGCTGTACCAAACCAAATCCATGCTGCCTATCAAACACTGCACGGAGGAGGATCATAGAGTCATAGAATGGTTAGGGTTGGAAGGGACCTCAAAGATCATCTAGTTCTAACTAGATGATCCAATAAATATGGATTCTTCCAACAAAAGGTTAGGGTTCCCTCCCACCCTAAGGAGCACCCATTAAAAGTGTTTCTCATTCTACCTGTTAAAAAGTCAATAACCTTGAGTTTACCAACTTTATGCACATTATTTGAAAGATAAAAAAATCTCCATCTAGTGGCAAGAAACTATATGCTGTTTGTGCAAGAATAAAAGGAAATTAAAAGATGTCATATTTAAAGTTCCTTCTCTACAGAAAGTTGTGCAAAAAAACAACCATTGAAATAAAGATTTTTGAACTATTGTATTACAACCACAGCCAGAAGCCGTGCACCACTAACACCTCACTGAGCTGCACGCCGTACAACATCCGAACCCGCCCTGGTTAGCATACCAGTTCATGGCATAAATCGGCATTTCGCCAATTAAATCATTCCTGCACAAGCCTTCGGAGCAGATACAGAAACAAACTGCTTCATCAAAAAGGGCCCTTCATTATCCAGCCCAGAAAGTTCATAGACAGACACCTACAGTCAAGTTAACACAGAGCAGCAAGCTCCTGCACGTCAGCTTTGTGCACACGCACATTTTCGTGCCTTTTGTCTGCCACGGGTTACGAGCACGTAACATGACTTGGCACCAGAACGTTGTCACGTATCTTAACACATCTGCAGCGAGCTACAACGTGCACTTTGATGTCTACCCTGGCACTGCTGAGGCGTGGGAACTTAGAGCTGTGATAACTGGACTGTGAATTGGAGACCTAAGGAACAGGTTCAGATGGAAATTCCTTGTCTGATGTGGAGACATCTTGTAAAGGATTCGGAACAGGTCCTCCCCTCCCTGCCTTTTACAGACAGCTTCAACTCCATCCTTCTGCCCACTCCAGGGACACTAACATTCGAGTCAGTGACAGCTGTTTGGAAGAGATGTTCTTTAAGACACCAGAAACCAGCAAGCGGGATCAATGACAGCACAAGCAACAGCAGTTTATGGGTTATGAGACTGATACTGGTTTGTCCTTCCCCTCCCAGTCTCTTTGTCATCAGAGGACAGCCGGCTACCCAGCAAGCAGGCTTGCCCACTCAGATAGGAAGCCTTTGGATCGATCCGTGTTTCATTCACTTACGTAAGCGTTTCCTAGGAAACTGCCTCCGGTAAGTCATGCACGTTCTAGCCACAGCTACACCAAACCTTTTCCAAGTCGGTAATTTGACGAGTAGAAGTGAAACTGGCCAAGTAATTATTTGCACTGGGCAAAGCACACATCAAAATTCTAAGCTGCTTATTAAAACATATTAAGTAATTGGTGTTTAGGTAGCAGCACGGATGCATCTGGGCAGAAAGCATATGTGTGCTTCAGCAAAATTTACACCTTGGTGCTGTTGTGGCATACCCAGCGAAGCAACAAAGCAGCAGCAACTGTGACTCGATTTCCCCAAAGCTTTTCATCTATCACGTCCTACACGTGATATTAAATGCAGATAAGCACTACACCGAAGAGCTGTACTTTGCTAACTATTTCAATTTTTTCACAACACTTTACCTTCCTACATATGTATAATCTACCTCAAACCAGTGTTTCCAACTGCACCATGGGAAACTGTTTGGTCCTGAGCAACTACAGGATGGGAAGTGGATCAGCCATATGAAGCATATGTCCAGCAGCCTGTTTTAGCACAGTCCAGCCCCAACAGAACAAAGGCAAAAAAACCAAACCAGAGCTAAGAGAACTGATAGTGTCGTATTGACGAGCTGGCAACAGGCAGGATACCATAATGGCTTGTGCAAAGAGATTCCAGAGCTCCCAGTCACAGGCTTCAGAAGACCATCCAGAGGGGAAAAAAAAAGTTACCCGCTTGCTGGCTTTTATTCTTTTAATTATTGGGCCAATGAGAGAAGACAAATGCAGTTTTTAACAGATCCCAAGCTTCATCTGCAGAGCAGCACAGTAAGCTGAGCACCAACTGAAGTTCCTCATTTGATGCTTTGGACAAACCAAGTTCTACTTTTGGAAGAATTCAACACTATTACTTGCCCTGAGCTTTACTTGGCCACCTATAAACCACCAGCATCCCTCACACAACTTCCAGATTTACTACGAATACAGGCAAAAATCCTCGGGTTTTTTGGTTTTAGAAAGGAACAAATGGTTCTTCAACTGTCATCAACATTCCACCTCTCATTTATCACTATGGCAACTATGGCAGTTTCTTATAAAGTAAAAAACACACAATTTTTAGTTTCTTCCACACAAGACGTAGCTGAGTGAACAGCACTGTTCTATCAGCCAGCTCCCCCCAGACCACCAGCAGTATTTTGATTACTCTGATCTGTAAGCTAGGATTCAAGAACTGCTTGCAAGAAAGCAGTGGCTTCAGCTCACATGCCTGTGCATTTCACATGGGGAAAGAAGGGCTTGTTTTAACTAGAAATAAAAGACTATTATCATTATAAAAGCTGAGAAAAAAAATAAATCTGTTTTGCTAGCCAAAGGAAGCAACACAATAAGCTGAAAATATTTACAACGTAGAGGTCTTACTCCAGATATAGTGTATTTTTTTTCTGGCTGCCTTATTTTGCTTAGCTCAAAAGCAGACTTTCAAAATAAAAACAACTTTTGAGGCTTTAGAAATAGTTGTTTCAAGGTTAACTCCAATAGTTGCTTCAAGACTACTCTACAATGAATTTTATTTTAACTAACATTTCAGAGAAGTCTAGGAAGTTTTGTTAAGGAAATACCTGACCAGTTGTAGTCAAACTAAACTGCTCTTCTCTCCCCAACCTCACTAGCCTATAAATACACCTAAGCTGGTGAACAATATTTTATTTTGTTACATTAAATATTTTTTAGTAAGAGCAGATTTATTTAAAAAAACCACCCACATTTTGTAGACAAATTAGACATAAATTTAATTCCCACTTAATTCATCCAAACCATTTCTACAACTACTGGAGGCTGCAATCAATTCCACTGAGACAAATTGTTTCTCAAAACAAATTTTGTTAACAGTAGATAAGTTGGGTTCTCCTCACCATCAGCACAGTTCAGTTCACGTGCAGTGTTTTTTATCTGCATTATGGATTCTTTAAAGTGCACTGCAACATCAAATTCTTAGAACAGCAATCACATTCTAGGACGCAAGATACCTTCTTTGAAGGTGCTCCTGTGGATGGCACATCGATTACGGAAGAAGAGTTTGTGTAGTTTTGTAAATACGATCCATCTCCAGGGCTTGGGGTTTCTAGTGGCAAAATTCCAAAGCTGAGAACAAAACGAAGAGGAAAGGTCAAAGTCTGAATATTAGACCACGAGAGGTGGCCTGATTCTGTGTTTTAAAACAGAGACCCAGATGATCAACTTTATTTCAGAACTACTTCATTGATGTTAACCCTCTAATATCTTACCATCCTCATCTATAGAAGACACTTTAATAGAACATATTCCTATTCCTGAAATTGAAAAATACAGAACTTTCTTTGCCTGCCTGCAGAACTAATAGACACAGACCAGCCAGGTATTAATGGATTGTAACGTAGCGCTGTTTAAATAACACAGTGTACAGGACAGAGCATATATTTACGTGCTCTTTAGAAAAGAGCTGTTCTTCAAGGAATGTCCTTAAGAGTTTATTTCAGAGCAGAAACATATTCCTATAAAGCTTTTTCAGTGTGGACATGGCAATAAGCAACATACTGAACCAAGAGCTCCCCCTCTTCTAATCAAAAATACCAAACTAATAAAAAATAAAAATAGTTGTGGCTTAGTAAATAAATACTACAATAAGCAACATACTGAACCAAGAGCTCCCCTCTTCTAATCAAAAATACCAACTGCTTGTTTAAACACCAGAAGAGATGAACACCACGACCAAGAGCAGTTACTGAAGTAGTTTAGCTTTTGCTCCTGCAGCATTATTTGTAATACACTATAATTCCAGTTCAAGCATGCTGTTTCAAATCACAAACATGATCAACAGCACAGCTGTAGGCAGCAACTGTCTATCTCCAGGACTTACCTTGGAGTTAGTGGGCTCAAAGCCGTAGGGCCTCCCAGTAAACTCCGCCCAGTTTTTGGTTTATTTTGAGCCTGTTTAGACAATATGGCAGTTCCTGACCCAAGAGGGACAGCATCTGGGGAAATCACAGCTGAGTCAATGTAAGACATCGAAGAATCTGTGTTCAAGGAGGAGTATTTTGAATTGGAGGATTCTAGGTTGATTCTGTTCAACTCCTGAAAAATGGAAGGCAGCTGTTAAGATACCCAGGCAGCATAGTTTCTAATTAGTATTATTCAGTTCAGCTGGAAAGACTGCTTTAAATACAATTTATCTGAGCAAAACTCACAATTGTGTCTTGCGGCGTTTCCATAAGGACAGTCTCCGGCTGTCTGTGGGATATGTTGTGATTAGACACCACTGTTGTGCAAGTGTTGGGCAGGCAGCTGCTGAAGTTCTGTAAAGATGTTAACTTAAATGTTTGGTCAGGGTCTGGTTTTTCACCTGTAAGATTAGAAGAAGGTTTGAGTAAAGTTATTCCTGAGTCTATACGCTGAATATGCAGGCAAAAACAAGGAGGATGGGGGACAAAGTACTTTAGAAGGGTTTGTGTTCTTATTTCATTGTTTTAAAACCCCTGACACTCAATCAGAAGTCTGCTTTCACTACAAAACCCTGGGCTAGCAGTTTTGATGAAAAATACACTTGCTTTTTTAAGTAATTGTCAGAAGTGTAGTTTTTAAGGGTCTACTAAGTGTAGGTTGGAAGACGTGGTATTGTAAAATCCAAAATGTAGAAGTAGTAAAAACAGAAGACGACAAGACAAAAGCTCTAAACACTGGCCCAGTATTTTAAATGCATTACAGCTCCAAAAACCACTCCCAAAGAATTCTGCTGGCATTTTCCTTCTTAGTTCCGGGCAAGAAGCAATTTACGCCTTGCCACACAGTGATGGCAAATCAGAAAAGTTGATGTAAGCAGAAAGGTAGAAAACATCTTCACTAGTAGAACAGTTCTGTGGACTTACCTATTTCACAGAGCGACTCGAAAGGGGACCAGAGGAAAGGATTTAAACTAAGGCTCTTTTGGTAACATTCCGATCCTTTGGCAAGCCGGTCTGTCTTGCTGCAAAAAGAATGTAACAGTTTATAGGGAAACTTAAGAACAGCACTTTTGTTCATGACAGCTTTCCAGGAGGAGTCAAAAACCAAAAACATGTTGACAGTCACAGCAACGTTCCTCATTTTTTCAAGCCACAGGGTAATATCGAATCCTTTTGAAGTTATTTGACATATTTAGACACAGAAGAAAGTTACTTACACACAGTCCTCAAAAAAAGTTATATAGGCACTAGTATAGCTTGAGAATTTTTGTTTTAGAAAGATGCTGTTCTGTGCAACAGCTTTTTTCTTGTGGTTTTTTTTTTGCAAACAGCAACTTGATTGCTAGCCTTCCAGCCACTTTAAATAGCTATGGATAGTATTTTTGCATATAAATTAGGGGCTAAACTGAACACCTAAGTATCTGGCTACAAAGACAAGCTTCTTCTAAAATTTTTTTTTTTTTTTTTTTGAGAACAAGCATATAGGGAAGAATGCAAAAACTCCACTATTCCGATTCAATCTGTCCACATTTACTGAAACCTTTCTTGCATCTAAGCAAAAGCAAAACACCTAAATTTGTAAAATTATTCTGACTGGCAGCCCTCAAAATTTTCATTTGAAGATTACAGCTGCACATCTGTCAAATAGATACAGAAAAACCAAAACAGCAACACTGAGAAACAGGCTTTAAGAGTTTCTGTTAAGGAAGAGTACAGAACAAACCTGAAGGTATTAAAAAAATAAATTATGAATTATGTTTAATAACCTGAAAAAGAGGAAACTGTTTTCAGTCACTCAGAAGCTGTGGGTGAAAGACAAACCATTCTTGCATTCACAGACTGGATGGCTTCCACGACTATCTACCTGCATCTATCACACTCCAAAATTGCACAGGCCATATAACCCAGAGACAGGTGTACCATGTGGTGAGTAAAAATTACACTAAAATTGGGTTTGGTCAAATAAAAAAAACCCCAAACTTTATTAGACAAAATAAAAAAGCAACATTACCAGTAGACATGTCCCAGTAAGGAGAGCGTAAAGCACGCAGAGTCACCAAACTCCATAACAATGTCATCATGGCTTTTCTGTTTGTTCAACACTCCACCAGATAAGATCTGCTCTCCTTCTGCAAGCCTTTTTAAAAAACAAGAGGTTTAAAGGGGTTACAAGGCTCACAGTACTGGTAGTCCAGTGTTTTCACCCTGCTGCAAACAAAAACAGAAATCCACTGTCAGTGTTCACAAGTTTCAAACCACATACAAACTAGTTCCCGCAAACGAACTTTAAAGAAACGATGGGCTCCTCCAGCAACACGGAGGAACGCAGCACTGTGAGGCCGAACATCTCTACTGGGGGTAAGAAAAACAAACCCAACCCGAGGCACCTCAAAACCAGAGACACATAATACAACACGACTTTTCCAGAAGGGCCTAATCTTAGGCAGAATACTAAATGGAGGACAAGAAAGTCTTCTAGATACTTCATTTCTGACGGTACTTCACTTAGAAATGAGCTAAGACAGCACTTAGTTTAGCTTTGTTTCCCAACTAAGAAATACAAACGGTAAGGAAAGCTGGAGAGGGACTTTTGACAAGGGCATGTAGTGATAGGACAAGGGGTAATGGCTTTAAACTGAAAGAGGGGAGATTTAGATTACATATAAGGAAGAAATTCTTCCCTCTGAGGGTGGTGAGGCACTGGACCAGGTTGCCCAGAGAAGCTGTGGCTGCCCCATCCCTGGAAGTGTTCAAGGCCAGGCTAGATGAGGCTTTGAGCAACCTGGTGTAGTGGAAGGTGTCCCTGCCCATGGCAGGGGGGTTGGGACTGGATGATCTTTGAGGTCCCTTCCTACCCAAACCATTCTGTGATTCTCTAAGGCTCCATGCACTCCATTAAGATTCAATATTGGGATATGGCACAGACTTTGGATTTTAACACCTTGCTTTCTTGCAAGAGAGGCTCAAAAGGGAAACAAAAGCTGGGTCTGCATCTACCACACCTGCAGTGAGCAGTACCACTCACATGGAACCAGCCACTCACTATTAGGCTTGAAAATTACTTTATATTAAATTAAATTATTTACTTCTGGGGATGGGAGGCATGCTTCTGGCATTTGATACTGACATCTGCACAAACAAATCACCTCTTCTTGCCTTCACTTGAAATTACAGTTGTGAGTAGACACTTCTATCAGTACAGACCATTCCCACAAGAACATAAGGTACAACTGTACAAACGAGCTCACATAATAACACCAATGACAGCTAAATTCTACAAATTCTAAAGACTATGTTTAAGAACTCCCCCCTATCTAACTGAAAATCCCTTCAGAAGCTGATGTATTATATGTACACATTAGACTTTGTAAAAGCAAGGGAGGGAACAATCAGCCTCAAGTTTATTCCACTGGGACTCTTCCAAGTAGAGCATTAACATGGTTTCCCTTTCAACAGAAGATGCAGAGAAACCTGTATCCTAATAGCTCCAAAAGAGTTAAAAGAGCATCAAAAGAAACACAAGTCAAGACATCCTCACTACTCTCAAGATGTCAAAGGACTTGCCTACTACAGAGAGTATCAAAGACTAAGGAGCATCCTCTGCTTCCTCTGGAGAGACCTCCATTTTGGTTACATGACATGAGCAGGATCATGAATCCTGCAAAACAATCCCATCACAATGAGTGAAACTCCAAATATCACGTTACCTATTCTGAAGAAATTAAACTTTTTTTTTGGTCATTGAAAGAGGGTCACTCAAAAAAAACCAAACCGAAGAAGCCACAACACATAACCACAAGCTGGTTTAGAGAGAGACTTTTAAGGTTCTGTAAAGAACCCCCACAGTATTTAAAGTTTTTTGAATGAAAGTTTTTTGCCTTCCTTGGTGCCTCATCCTCTCCATTCCGCACCTCAGCCAGATGTTTTTTCCTACCCTTGAACTGAAAAGTCTACATAGAAGTGAAATACTGTCACTAACAAACGCTCACTGCATTAGGGCCTGTAGCCTGAGCAATTTCATTACACGTTCTTGCTGTTGGACTGTGGAAAACCAGGAAGATCCCTTGGCACTACTATGTCCCTGTTGAGGTTAATTTTGATGTCAAATACAGCATTCTTGGATGTGGACTTAAAGTGGGTTTGTTGCGGGTTTTTAAAAAGACATTTTTGTCTGTCATGTTTTCCCCCACTCAATCATCAGCAGTAAATGGGTAAGAGGAGCAAGCTCACTGTTTGAGGGAAGGGACCTATCCCTCAAATTCATACAGGAAACAAGTAAGCAAGCATCAGAGAAACACAAACCCAAACCAAACACCTCCCAGAATGGTCTCCTTGCCTCATCTCAGCAATCAATGTCTTCTCCCCCTACACAGTTTGACAACTCCTTGGAAAGTTATTCAATACCTTTTAGGGGTTTCTGCAATATGGGCTAACGTTCGTTAGGTCCTTATCTGTGAGCAAAATGAACTGAACTTTTAATAATCTTTAGAGCTGAAGGACCAATTAATTACTAGTTTGTGCAATATGACAGCTTTCAAAGAGAAATTCAAACAAAAAAAAAAGCATTTGTAACCCTGGATAGAACATAAAGGATTTACTTACTTGCTGAGGTCAACACAACATTTAGCAAGCAGGTATTTACACTGCGGGGTAGTGCAGCTGTGTCCCTTCAGGAGCCTGTACGCTTTGTAGGCCTTTCCTGAGCGGTAGTAACACGTTGCCAGTAAAAACAGTGCTTCTTCTGAATGTACTAAAAATAATAATTTAAAAAAAAAAATCATCAGTTGGTTGTTTACTGTTTTGATGCAAGGAATTCAGGGGCAGGGAGTAAAAGCCAGCTGGGAACAAGACACGAGAAAACAAGTATTGATATTACAGAAACTCATTGCTGAATGAAGTGCATTTCTTTATTTGTCAGCATGTAACAAACTTCCTTCCCTATGCCATCTTCTTGTATAGACTGACCAGCTCTTAACACCTACAGCTGTAGGAGAACTTTGACCCTTCTGGCTACTCAATCTAAATAAGCGATCAGCCAGCTTGCTGAAAGAGCAGCAGGTCAATCAAAGCAGTCATTCCTAGAACAGAGCGACTTTAACAACTCCCTGGCCACACCAAGACTTGGCTCAGAGCATTATCCCACCTGCTAGCCCCACTTTGCACTAGCTTAAGCAGTGCAGAAACACACAACACACTGTTGGGAAGCACAAGAACTTGTAGAAGGAAGATTTATTTCAGACTAAGTAGCCCAATTAACAGTTTTAATCCTAATTTCAAGTAGCCCTTTCCTGTTTGCAATTTTACTTCTGTTCTTTTTCTAAAGCACTTGATGCTGTATCTTCACATGACTTAGTGAAGCAGATTTTCCCTCTTAATGACTATTAAAGTCAGCCAATTACCAGTCACCTCTACCCCAACATTAAGGCTTGTCTTTTTTGCAGCCCACCCTCACTATTTCATTGGGAACAGGGCTTAACATTGCCATTCAGATGCTTTATTTATTTTATGTTAGGAGGCAGCGACAGGGACACCTTCTACAAGTTCTCTTCCCAATGTGAGTCCTCACAAGTTTCTAAAGTTAAATGAAGTAGTCAAGCTTCAGGAAAAGCCATCTCTATCTAAATAGAAAACGAGAGTAATCAAGACAGAAACATTTCTCTGTGGCAGAAACTGGAAGTATTTAGATTTTATGTCTGCTTCAACACTTCTTCCATTGCAGAAATGAATTACGTACTGCACTGAGAACGTTCAATTCTAAGAGCTTGACTTTGCATCCAGATTTAAGATTGGGATCAGACTCAGCCAATTTTACTTGTGGTTACAGCACAAAGGACAGAGAGCTAATCCCTGAAGCAACTTGCAAACCTTACTGTAAAATCATCAGCTGAAACTCTAAAGGCCAGAGAACTCACTGTTGTGAGGCAATGGTGAGCAGCACCATGCTGCGATGTTAACCTGAGCTTTAAGCTACGACTGTGTGAAATATCTGTACGACTTCATTTTAACTCTGTTTTCTGGGTTTTAGCAAAGAGAGATATCCAGATACGCCCACAGATTACTTACAGCCGTGGTGTCTCACCCTATTCTTTGTCCTACTTCAAACGTTACATTCCAATCATTATTATGCAATGCTATGTTTTAAATCAAAGAAAGGCTGTCTATAAAGGCAAGCAACCTAAATCTCCAAACAATTAAGAAACCTACATTACTTTACACTCTTCAGAATGCACTGCCACACAAACAGAATTCAACAATAAAAGAAACAATTCTGATGTTTGCTCATCTACCCACATGGAACTCTTCAGAAAAATCAGTGTGAGCATTGTACAAAAACCTCTTTGGGCAACCTGCTCAAACGCTTTGCCACATGAAAACTGACTATTTTAAGTTTGTGTCATCAGTCAGACAGTGACAATGGAAGCAGAAGACCCAAAGAGAGGATATTTTATTAGCCTTATCCTAAAAACACCAGAAGACGATTTTGAAAATTAAAGTGAAATCAATTCTTTTATCCACCACTTGAACACGCTTCAAGAGCTCTGGGAAACTACCAAGCCACTGATGTCCCCACAAGGACAGTAACTGCAGGTGGACTTCAAAGAAGTTCTTCTCAGGATAAAATCACTCCTGCCAACATGGAGTGACTGCATTCAAGTTCCGCAGCTTCTACTCTGCAGTATAACTACTTATTTTAACCAGAAGCCAGATGTTTTGTTAGCAGTTAATTGCTTGAATCAAGTGGAAGCATGCCTGCTGTTCTCTCTCAGCACCGCTGGTCACCAAAAAAAGCTGTTTGAAGTACTCTGGCAGAGTGTTATTCTGCAAAGATAAGCGTCAGTATCGAGTCAGATATTTTTCTCTTGGCTGCTGCAAAAAGTGGATTCTCTTCGTTTCTACATCCTTGGCAATTATCTTCAATCTAGCATTTCCCTGCGTCTCACGGAGTGCTGCGTTCAGAGGAGGTACGTCATCCCTAGACCACTATTTTCTTAATGCACACATGGATTATAAGATTCCATAATATTTTACACAACACTTCTCATTTAGGCACCGCATGGAAGACATCAGATTTCATGGGTAACTTTGACATGAGGAAAATAAAAGTCTTTCTTTTTCAAAAATTAGGTTTGTGCTTCCATTGTTAAGAAGTGCATTGTGGGCCTATCAAGCAAAACATAGATATCAAAACATTTCACTACAAAACATGGAGCATGAAACAGGTCATACAGTTTAATTCACATTGTAAGCTCAAGTCATTTAGCATGAGAAATTATATTTTAGCTGAAGAGTTGGGTTGTTTTCTTTTCATGTTAGTGATTAGGGCACAATACCTTTCGAAATAGAGAAGGAAAGTTCAACACCAGTACCAAGGAGAAAGAAGTAAGGAAGAACAAAAAGCTTATCTGAGGTCACAGAGGAAAGATTAGGGAAGAAGGAGGACAAGAACACAAGAAGAAAGCAGTCTTTGAAGGACCCAGGAAAAGTTCAGATTTGCGTTACTGCTGCCTGCTCAGCATCCAAGGCATCCTGGATCTGACAGCCTTGCAATGAAGTAACAATTAACAGGAATTCAACAGGAGATACCTGATCCATATGTTCCCATTTTCACTGTCTCTCATCAGCACAAGATTACCTCTTTCAGCTAACACACCAATCAACATATCTGAACAGAATTATGAGCAAAACCAGCTTTCAGTATCAAGGCAATTCGTAGAATTTGTGGACTGCATCTATCCTCAAGTGCCCTTGGAAGACATGCAACGTTTAAGGTTATTAAAAAAATCTCTCCTCTATTTGATACAACAGATCACTGTAAACGTTGTACTTAAACACACATCTCAGCTTAATTTTTTTAAAGAGGTTTTACCATAAAACAACACTGCTGCTGTTATGTGATTTGATTTTCCAACCTAATTGCGAGGCATTCTTCCACTTTCCCCAAGCAGAAAGTTAAACTTCGTTATCACAACAGCAGGAGTAAAACAAAGCAGGAACAGAGACTCAAAAAATCCTACATCAAAACAGAAAAAAGCATCAACTTGATATTTGTAAAGTACATACCTTCTGCATATAATCTTTCTGCAAGGAACACTGCATCGCGGTAAGCGTAGTGGTTTAGTGCTTGCCATATAGCAGCCTGCAAGACACGAAAATATCTAAATTTAGAAAGAAGCTTTAAAAATGCAAAACTCATTAGCTCTTACTGTCAAAACGCAAAGTTCAATGTTATTTTCGTGGAGTCATAACAAGAATGGAGAAGGATAAACACGAAGGTCAAGTTTTAGTTGTTTCAACTATTAGTAAGGAGACTTAAAAAAAACCCAAACAACTTGGCACTGAAATCATGAACCAATCTAAGAATGTGGGTGGTAACTAGTGAGCAACAACCACCTCCAAACCTCAGCTACCACGCACTGAAACAACAGTGGGTACTTCCACTCCTTACAGAGTCTTAGCCTGCTGCATATCTGAGCACGAATTATCGCTAACTCCCACCAAACAACAACACCTTAGGTACAGGTAGGAAGGAAAACCACCCCTCAGCTGGTTACCAGAGTATTCCATTTTGCTCTTAGCTGTGCCCAAGGAGGGGCAGGGAGGTGGGAAAAAACTGGGTGCCCAACACATTTTGATGGTATTGTGCATGCACCCATTTAAACTCTCTCCTCCGGAGACATGCCAAACCAAAGCCCAGCAGGACTAGAAACCACGTCGGTGTCTGAGGCTGTCCATGTAGGACAGCTGTTGGTGAAGTCTGTTGGGTACAGAGCATTTTCATGGAGGCATTTTCCTTGAAGGGCTGTCAGCGGTCCCTTCAGAACCAAGACGGACGCGATGCACTGCTTTTTGTGGCAGTGTTTTGTTTGGGTCTTTGCTCAGCCACCACTGCCACTAATTACGACTGTGAGGTATCGCACAAGAATGAACGCAACGCAAACGAGACGGACAAATTGAAGCACACAACACACACAAAGGCAACCTACTTCTGCACTGTGCTCCTATACCCATAGGTGGTCAAAAACAGCTACCTGCTTAAGGGTACCATCTTCTTTTTTCACAAACACCACGCTCCAGAGTTTGGGACTGTCCATATTTGCGCAGACTCAAACGAGGGCACTACTCCAGCGAAACACAAATTAAACGTACATGCAGGTGTACAAACTGCGTACACCATCACAGCAGCTGTCCCTTATTTGCACTGCTGTCACCATCGGCTGCACCACAAGAGCTGTCCAGCTAAAGAATCGAGTCGGGGTATGCGGCCTTCCCAACAAACACTACTCTGGCAGTTTGCTCCGGATCAGATTAAAAGCCTTCTGTTATCTGTCAAAGAGGGATGGGAAAAATAATTCCTTTTTAAGATCTATTCAGCCTTTCCTCCCCACCTCTTACAAGCGGTGGCGAGCATGCTTATCAGGGTTTGTATTGGGAGGTTGGTGGGGCTGTATTGGGACCATGGCTCCTTCCCATCTGGAGTCTTGCTCAACTTCCAAAGCAGTTTCCCACAAGCAGCCAACAGCCACTTTGCAGTAGTTTTGTTATTACTCATCCCAACACGACCTGAACTTATCAACTGAAGGCGCTGTGGTCTTTCTCCAACATTCATCAGCAACCGAAGACAAACAGAATTAGCTTCTGATACCTATCAGACACTCCAAAAGGAAAAGAAATCTTCCAGAGCTAAAGAAATAGCCTTGTAATGCTATTCCCAGTAGGAAAGGCGAGCGCCAATTTCATCTAAAAAAGAAGTCAAACATCACACAGAGTTACATGTTCCATATGCTACTTCTTCCAACACAAACTTGACAAACTCAGGGTGTGAAAAATGTGCGAGTTCTCTTCACGGGAAGCCTACACTGTCTTCACGAACAGTACACACCACAGCTTCCAATTACTATAAGGAATTTTATACACAAAAATCTCTACAGACATACTATTTTCTTCTACCAGTAGGTCTCAACAACACACTTCAAAAGTCAACAGGTACTTTCAAGCTTGTGTGAAAGTATTTAAAAATGACTTCCCTAAGTTTGATTATCATATTACAAACATCTAATTATTATTTCTCTCTGGCTGTATTCCACACTTCAGATAACTTCGGCCGCAGAGTCCGCCTGAAGCGATTTACTCCCTTGTACCTCGCAAGGCTCCAAGGCTGCACGCTGTTCTGTGCACCACGGACAGCATGGTACAAAGAGTACGAGATGGAAGCAAAATGTTGGATATTTCAGGCTATAGCCAAGTTCCAGCATCCCAAGGTCTCCTTTTGCTCTCGCCCTCAGAAGCTGCTCTTCCTTTACCAAGTGACACTTTGACGAATCTATCCAAGTCGTGCTGGTTTTAGGTCAAAAATACGGTCTCTACAGGGATGTAAGTCAGCATGCTTACGAAACGAAGGTGTGCGGGTGGTGGTGGTGAAATCCATGTCATTTGACTTCTCAAACAAGAGCGAGTTGCCAGAAACAACCTTGCCAAAGGCTGAAAGGGGACACGAGCAATTCTGGGCTACGCCACAGCCACGTTACAGAAGTTACTCCACGTACTGGCTCACATAACAATCGTGGCTGAGCAGGGACCCAGTGAAAGCAAAAAGTCAGCGGGTACAATCCCTGTTATGTAATAATTGTCATTTTGCAACCCCAAAGGTGCAACTTGGACTCATGCTGTCAAGAGAGGAACACTGAAGCCTGGATCCTTGCACACACTGTCCTTAGATATGTGAAAGGAAGGTGGTGGGGAACCATCAACACCTGTGCACTAACAGTTTCCTACAAGAATCAATGTCTAACCTACAACTGTGTCTCAAACTACCAAAAAAAAGATTTCTTGAGCACCTTTCAGGAAGCAAATTTTGGACAGGAACATCAATCCCTTACAGAGTAGTGATTTAGTTTGTTCCAGCAGAAGCTCAACGCATCTACCCAGCACTAGTGGAACACGGCAACTGCTAAGCCACACCAGAAAGGTGGTCTGAAGCAAAACACTTTGAGGGCATCTGTCCAATAAAATCTATTTAATCCCAAGAGACTTCAGAGTAGGGCAACACAGTAGAACCACAAATACAATCCAAACTCAGTCTTGGTTCCCTCCCTATGGTAGTTATCAAATTTTACATAGAACCTGTCAACTGAGACCCAAAGAAGAAGCCTCCTCAGGGGTGTGCAAAGCAGCTGAGATACTTAGGTTGCAATCTGTTCTCAGGGCTCCAAACAAACAAGGACAGAAGGGAAGCTTGAAGTGTTTCAAAGTTTTATTCAGATAAATCCCCAGGTCCTAGTCAGTCATTTTAAATATGTGTTAATTTTCAAACGCAAAGTGAATAGGGAATTCCAAAACTACCATACCAGCCACCGCTCTGCAGCAAAGCATGCTCAGAGCAGAGAGCAAGAAAATATAAGCAGATTGAGACAGGTACATTTTCTGTCCAGAAAATCCTGTACGTATTCCAAGCATTGCTTCATATCTAAGCCCAAGAGCTCTTAAAAGATAGGTGTTCTCTTCTGACAGTTATATAGCCTTGGAAATTATTTTCAAAGCTTTACAGGCTACTGATGTGCTAAGCAGTTTCTATCAGGATTTAAGACTTTTCCAGGGTGGGCAGAGGGGAGGAGAGTTTTCTGTGACAAGCTGTGATACATTTACTAGTTATGCAAACTCTGCCTATTAAACAATCAGACACTGCTATTGCATTTTCTCAGCCATGACAGTAGCCTTGGAGTTCAAGCTCCATTCAAGCGGGTCACAGCAGATGATCACCTCGAACAGCTAAATTCCAAGGAAAGGCTTCTTTTTGTTTCCAAGATGTTTTTCAGAAATCTTTGGAAGGCATCCAGCCTGCTTCTCCACACTTGGGATACAAGGCTTTATGTTTGAGCTGAAGAGTTTTAAATTGACCACATCAGGAAGTACAGTAGAGGTCTGTCTGTTGTCTATGTAAACTCTGGCACTTTTGTTCATCTTAAGGGATTTAAAAAGTTAGTAAAAAAACTGTTCATCCAGCGAACGGGATGCCCTTTGAGATTTAATGTAATGTAATTAAAACCCAACATTTATAAGGCAACGCACACACACAGATCCCGTTATTTATCTATCATGCTTTGCATATCACAACTGTAAAGATGACAGTTTTTCCTGGAATGCTAAGCCCTGTCAGACATCCGAAAGGCTGGGAGAGAACAGACAGGAAAAAATCTTTGCAATGACAAAAATAAGAAGTAGTGTCACCTTTTCCAATCATGTCTTAAAAAAAAAAAACCCCACCAAAACTCAAAACAAACCAGTCCAATCTCTACACCACTGCTCACAGCCACGGCACAAAGAGGACAACAGCTACAGATCCAGGCAGAACTCAAAACGTTGACCTCATTTTGGATGGTGCACTGGTGGCTTCCTTACCATTATAAGCAAAAATCCGACCAAGGCCACAACAAATAACAGATCCTAAACTTAGCAGTGTTGCTGTAAGCAAGGCATAGCAGCAAAGCTAACAGCAGTAGAACCACTGATAAAGGAATTATTTGGCATTTGAAAGCAGGCAGGATCTAAATAGATAGAGTAAACGTAGCAAAGCCTCATCAAAACATCCAAGCTGGTAAGAGCGTAAGAACGGAGAATGATATTAGAGAAGTCTTCAGCTTTCTGAAAAACGAAAACAAGATTGCACATTTCTATCAGGGAACTCTCAGAACAGCAGATATTTTTCCACTTGGTTAGTCTAATTAGCATAGTACTGGAAACATTAAATATTGTTTCCTGTCATTCACTCTGCAATGCATCCTTGCTTCCTTTTCTATTGTAATCCATGCTTTCCTAGAATACCCAACTGGTACAGAACACCAACTCCAAGGGTAACACCAGTGGTGCAAGTACGCCCACCACAGAAGAGGGGCCCGGTGGCTCAAAGCACTTCCAGCACCACACTGACCATTGCTCTCAGAGTGGATGAGCAGAACAGCAGCATCAAGGGCAAAAACCCCCGGTCTACCAGAGCGCCATCACGGTCACCATCTTGCACAGACATGGTCAAGACAGCAGGGTGGTCTTCCACAGGAGAAGCCATTCTTCTGCTCCCACTTTTTCATTAAAAGGAGAGAAGAGAGCCAAAAAGCAAGAATTTTCACTGTGCTCA